GGTGTTCAGGATGGCTGAGAAAAAGCGACAGGCCCACTGTCATCGGCTACAGAATCCCACGTCAGAGAATGAGGAGGCTTACCGCAGCCTTCGCTCGGAGGTTCGGAGAGCCGTGAGGCGCTGCAAGGATGGGTGGTGGTCCCGGTTACTGAGGAGATGGAGTCTGCCTCAATGGCCCTCGATCACAAATCTCTATTTAACTCCATCAAAAAAGTAACCTGCAGCGCCACACCTATTACCATCATTAGGGGAAAGAACGGTGATCCAATCTCTGACCCCCAGGAACAGGTTGGCAAATTTGCTGAGCATTTCTGTGAGGTCCTGGGGGAGGGAAAATCCCTCAGCCAGGAAAACATCGTGGCACTAAGTGAGGATGACCCTGCTGAGGCTGCGGTGCCTCAAATATTGGAAGAAGTCACCCCCTGTGAGTGGCTGGCTGAGGTGCCATCTGCTGAGGAAGTACTGAAGGTGATCCGGAGTCTGAGACCAGGAAAGGCAGCGGGCAGAGATGATCTCCCAAGCGAAATGCTGAGGGAGGGTGGCGTTTGTGCACAGACTGCCCTACATGACATCATAGCAACAGGTCCTGGCAAGGATTATTCAGCATCGCCTTGCCAGGCACGCTGAGGAGAGGCTTGCGGAGCCCCAATGCGGTTTCAGGAAAGGGCGGTCCTGCACAGATGCCATATTTTCTGTCCGTCTGCTACAGCAGAGGTGTAGGGAATTCCAACAAGACCTACATCTCTGCTTTATTGACCTGGTCAAGGCCTATGATACCATCAGTAGGCCTGGGCTCTGGGTTGTTCTTCGTGCTTTTGGAGTACCTGACCCTCTGCTCACGATCATTAAGGACCTTCATGATGGTGAGCGGGCCCGGGTAAAACTACGTGGCCGGGAGTCAGAGCCATTCCCTGTACAGCTTGGGGTGCGACAGGGATGTCCTCTGGCTCCCACATTATTTAACATCCATTTTGACCACGTAGTTTGTGAAGCCTTCAATAGCTGTACCGGGGGAATCTCCATTTGGTAGATATAAAATGGGAGGCTGATCGATGCCCGGGTGCGGTCAAGGGATGGCTCCCTATTGCTCAACCACGTTATGTATGCCGATGATTTGGTAATAGCTGCTCAGTCAGAGGAGGAGTTGGAGACGCTGCTGCTGAGACTGGAGCGTGCTACTAAGAGATGGGGCCTTACCATCAGCCCCACCAAAACTAAGCACCTGCCTGGGTATTTTGTACCATCGGACACTCCACCCCCACAACTCCCAATCGGTGATGGGGCAGTTGTGGAGAGAGTGGAGAGTTTGCTCATACCTTCTCCTGAATAATGATCTCCATTTCTCTCCTTCACCACCACCACCATCAACACCATCACCACCATCACCACCACCACCATCACCACCACCACCATCACCACCATCACCACCACCATCACCACCACCACCCTCACCACCACCACCATTACCACCACCACCATCACCATCTCTCTCTCCTATCCACCACCACCACCATCTCTCTGTCCTATCCACCACCACAACTCTCACCACCACCACCACCACCCCCACCATCACCACCATCACCACCACCACCACCATCACCACCACTACCATCACCATCACCACCACCACCCTCACCAACACCACCACCATCTCTCTCTCCCATCCACCACCATCACCACCACCACCACCATCTCTCTCTCCCATCACCACCACCACCACCAGCGCTACGCCCTTCACGACGCTATTTGCCGTGATGAGGCTTGGCTCTCCGGCCTAGCCGAAGTCTCCCGCTGCTGTGCCATGGATGGACGGGCGAGGATCTTGTGCTTCGACGAGCTCTCGAGTCACCTGAACGCCAGCGTGGAGGAACGTCCAGAACTTTGCTCCACGTCACTCTGCTCTAAGTATCACGACCTGGGGTTCGAGTTCAAGCAGAGGTGAGACTCAGTGTGTGTGTGTGTCTATGTGTGTGTGTCTGTGTGTGTGTGTGTGTCTGTGTGTGTGTCTGTGTGTGTCTGTGTGTGTGTGTGTCGGTGTGTGTGTCTGTGTGTGTGTCTGTGTGTGTGTGTCTCTGTGTGTGTCTGTGTGTGTGTCTCTCTGTGTGTGTGTCTGTGTGTGTGTGTCTGTGTGTGTGTGTGTCTATGTGTGTGTCTATGTGTGTGTCTGTGTGTGTGTCTGTGTGTGTGTGTGTGTCTGTCTGTGTGTGTCTGTGTGTGTGTCTGTGTGTGTGTGTCTGTGTGTGTGTCTCTGTGTGTGTGTGTGTCTCTGTGTGTGTCTCTGTGTGTGTGTCTGTGTGTGTGTCTGTGTGTGTGTCTGTGTGTGTGTCTGTGTGTGTCTGTATGTTTGAGTGTGTATCTGTGTGTCTCTGTGTGTGTGTGTCTGTGTGTGTGTCTGTGTGTCTGAGTGTCTCTGTGTGTGTGTCTGTTTGTTTGAGTGTGTCTGTGTGCCTCTGTGTGTGTGTCCGTGTGTCTAAGTGTCTCTGTGCGTGTGTGTGTGTCTCTGCGTGTGTGTGTCTGTGTCTGTGTGTCTGAGTGTCTCTGTGTCTGTGTGTCTCCGTGTGTGTGTGTCTGTGTGTGTCTGTGTGTTTGAGTGTGTATCTGTGTGTCTCTGTTTGTGTGTCTGTGTGTGTGTGTCTGAATGTCTCTGTGTGTGTGTCTGTGTGTTTGAGTGTGTGTCTGTGTGTATCTGTGTGTGTGTCCGTGTGTCAAAGTGTCTGTGTGTGTGTGTCTGTGTGTGTGTCTGTGTGTGTGTCTGTATGTGTGTGTGTCTCTGCGTGTGTGTGTGTGTGGCTGTGTGTGTGTGTCTAAGTATCTCTGTGTGTGTGTCTGTGTGTGTGTGTCTGTGTGTGTGTCTGTGTGTGTGTCTGTGTGTGTGTGTCTGTGTGTGTCTGTGTGTGTGTGTCTGTGTGTGTGTGTCTGTGCGTGTGTGTCTGTGTGTGTGTCTGTGTGTGTGTCTGTGTGTGTGTCTGTGTGTGTGTCTGTGTGTGTGCGTGTCTGTGTGTCTGAGTGTGTGTCTGTGTGTGCGTCTGTGTGTCTCTGTGTCTGTGTGTCTCTATGTGTCTGTGTGTGTGTGTCTGTGTGTTTGAGTGTGTGTCTGTGTGTCTCCGTGTGTGTGTCCGTGTGTCTAGGTGTCTCTGTGCGTGTGTGTGTGTCTCTGTGTGTGAGTCTGTGTGTGTGTCTGTGTGTTTGAGTGTGTATCTGTGTGTCTCTGTGTGTGTGTCTGTGTGTCTAAGTGTCTCTGTGTGTGTGTCTGTGTGTGTGTCTGTGTGTCTCTGCGTGTGTGTCTGTGTGTGTGTGTCTGTGTGTGTTTCTGTGTCTGTGTGTGTGTGTGTGACTGTGTGTGTCTCTGTGTGTGTGTGTCTAAGTATCTCTGTGTGTGTCTGTGTGTGTGTGTCTAAGTATCTCTGTGTGTCTGTGTGTCTATCTAGGGTGGCGTATGGATTTGGCCAACGCTTTCCCAAGGCAGCAATGGGACAGATGCGAGATTTAATATCCAAGTATCTGGCGATGGTGCAACGTTGTTGTGATGCTGTAAGTACTCACACAGAGACACATAGAGATACATAGAGATACATATATAGATATATAGAGACTCATAGAGATACATAGAGATACATAGAGACACATAGAGACACATAGAGATACATAGAGACTCATAGAGATACATAGAGACACACAGAGAGACATAGAGATACATAGAGATACATAGAGATACATAGAGACTCATAGAGATACATAGAGACACATAGAGATACATAGAGATACATAGAGACTCATAGAGATATATAGAGATACATAGAGACTCATAGAGATACATAGAGACTCATAGAGATACATAGAGACTCATAGAGATACATAGAGATACATAGAGACTCATAGAGATACATAGAGATACATAGAGACTCATAGAGATATATAGAGATACATAGAGACTCATAGAGATACATAGAGACTCATAGAGATACATAGAGACTCATAGAGATACATATAGATACATAGAGACTCATAGAGATACATAGAGACTCATAGAGATACATAGAGACTCATAGAGATACATAGAGATACATAGAGACTCATCGAGATACATAGAGACTCATAGAGATACATAGAGACTCATAGAGATACATAGAGATTCATAGAGATTCATAGAGATACATAGAGACACATAGAGATACATAGAGACTCATAGAGATACATATAGACTCATAGAGATACATAGAGACTCATAGAGATACATAGAGACTCATAGAGATACATAGATACACATAGAGATACATAGAGATACATAAAGACTCATAGAGACTCATAGAGATACATAGAGATACATAGAGATACATAGAGACTCATAGAGACTCATAGAGATACATAGAGACTCATAGACATACATAGAGATACATAGAGACTCATAGAGATACATAGAGACACATAGAGATACATAGAGACTCATAGAGACTCATAGAGATACATAGAGACACATAGAGATACATAGAGATACATAGAGACTCATAGAGATACATAGAGACTCATAGAGATACATAGAGACTCATAGAGATACATAGAGATACATAGAGACTCATCGAGATACATAGAGACTCAAAGAGATACATAAAGATGCATAGAGATACATAGAGACTCATAGAGATACATAGAGATACATAGAGACACATAGAGATACATAGAGACTCATAGAGATACATAGAGACTCATAGAGATACATAGAGATACATAGAGACTCATAGAGACTCATAGAGATACATAGAGATACATAGAGACTCATAGAGACTCATAGAGATACATAGAGACACATAGAGATACATAGAGATACATAGAGACTCATAGAGACTCATAGAGATACATAGAGACACATAGAGATACAGAGATACATAGAGATACATAGAGATACATAGAGACTCATAGAGATACATAGAGACTCATAGAGATACATAGAGACTCATAGAGATACATAGAGATACATAGAGACTCATCGAGATACATAGAGA